CACACACACACACACTCACACACACACGCACACTCACACACACACACACACTCTCAGAAATCTGTGTATCGTGTGTTTGCAGGACCAGCATGACGTGATCGATAGACACACTCAGAGCGGACTGGATCTGCTGGAGCGATACGTGAAGTTTGTCAAAGAGAGAGCCGAGATCGAGCAGAATTACGCCAAACAGCTCAGGCAAGACTCTGGTTTGGGTTTGCACTGCATCAATCAGGGGTTTTCAGCCTTTGTGATGCCACAAACCCCTAAATATGATCATCTTCACTCGAGAGACTCCCATCCTGAAATTTGAATGGGAACGATGTATTTTCATAAATAAAAACCCAGTTAATACTGTAGAAAAAATTATTTTATGTATAAAATATATTTAGCCTTTTCTACTCACTATTTTGCTGTAGTGTTAGATTTATTATTTCTTTTACATCAATTTTATTTATTCCAATATATTTTCATTTTTATTTATTTTAATAGTTTTAATAATTTATTTTTATAATACATTTTTTAGTTTAATCATATTATTTTTTTTGTTGTTTTTACATTTTCTGTAAGCTTTTCTATAGACTCACATTGGCTCATGAATATTAATTAGGGCACAACACCAAACACAACATCATCGCCTCAATCCCTTCACTTTCCATCATCTTGTTTGTCAAATCGGCAGAAAGCTTGTCATATTATCATGCAAGTGTGACAGCAGCCTGTCATTATTATATATTATTATATTTAGTTTTTCTCATGTACACAAGGAATTGTTTTAGTGTTGTTGATCTTGTGTTTTTGAAGGCCCCTGGTGCTCAGGGTTTAACCTGTTTTGTGTGTGTTTCCCTGAAGGACTCTGTCTAAGAAATATTCCAGGCGAGGCGTCAAAGAAGATCAGGACACAAAGTGAGTCGATCAGGCATTAATCTCTGATGTTGAGCCTCACTGCTGTCTGTCTGCAGCGCTGCTTCTCCAACGCTTCGAGTTTATCAGCTGGTGTTCTCACATCATGCGTGTGTCTCTCAGCCCTGAACGCGGCGTGTTGTTGACTGTGTTTCTGCAGGCCGAGCAATCAGCAGGCGTTTCAGGACGTGCTGAATCAGCTGAACGATTACGCGGCTCAGAGAGAGCAGCTCTCCGAGAGCATGACGCTGAGCATCTGTGTGGACCTCAGCAGAAACCTGCAGGAGCTGCGACAGGAGCGCAAGAACGTGAGCCAGAGACCGAGCACTGATAAACCTCACCCGCAGGACATCTTCACAGTGTGCTTCTCTCTGTTGCAGCATCTCTGTGAGGTTAAGAAGGCTCAGCAGAACCTGGAGAGCAGCTCTAAACTGCTGGAGACTGTGAGTGAATGTGTTATTACAGTGTTGAACTCTTAAAACAGTTTGTATTGCTCTTATCAATTACTTTCTAATTTACCCATGATGCATGAATACTTACACTTAATGCATCATGGGTAACAGAATTATGCCAAACAGCTCAGGCAAGACTCTGGTTTGGGTTTGCACTGCATCAATCAGGGGTTTTCAGTCTTTGTGATGCCACAGAAAATATAAAACAGAAACATGCACAACACAGCATTTAATATGATATGCAACAATCATGAGTAACTGATCGATTCATTTCTTATCATTTATACGTGTTAATGAAGTGAGCTGTAACATTTAAGACTTTTACAGTATACTCTGGATCAAACTCATTTTTTGCACATTTGTATTTTATTTTAAGTTCATTTTGAGTCATGGAAATGTATTTTAGTTTTTCCAATCATGTTAGGTTTTTATTTTTCAGTCAACAAGAATGTTTTCATGAAAATTTTCTAATAATGTTCAAAACTGTAATTCAGACTGGATACACAAAAACACAACCGCATCCATCACAGCACCTGACCTGATGATGACTGATGGACTTTTCTTATTGTTTATATACATTTGAAGTAATAAAGAGGGCAACACATTTGAAACAGTTACAGTGTACTGTGGATCAAAAGCTAAAGCTAGTTTATGCTAATTTCTATTGATTGTGTTCCATCCAGAGTAAGAAGCGTTTTGAGAAGGAATGGAGAGAAGCAGAGAAGGCCAATCAGCAGACAGAGAAAGTCCAGCTGGATGCCAACGCCACGAGAGCAGACATGGAGAAGGTACAGACTCCTTCAACACACATACTTACACTTCATGCATCATGGGTAACAGACGCTGTGTGTGTGTGTCTGTGTGTGTGTGTGTTCTTTGTGATGCCACAAAAAATATAAAACAGAAACATGCACAACACAGCATTTAATATGATATGCAACAATCATGAGTAACTGATCGATTTATTTCTTATCATTTATACGTGTTAATGAAGTGAGCTGTAACATTTAAGACTTTTACAGTATACTCTGGATCAAACTCATTTTTTGCACATTTGTATTTTATTTTAGTTCATTTTGAGTCATGGAAATGTATTTTAGTTTTTCCAATCATGTTAGGTTTTTATTTTTCAAATTTTTTTAATTTTCTAATAATGTTCAAAACTGTAATTCAGACTGGATACACAAAAACACAACCGCATCCATCACAGCACCTGACCTGCTGATGACTGATGGACTTTTCTTATTGTTTATATACATTTGAAGTAATAAAGAGGGCAACACATTTGAAACAGTTACAGTGTACTGTGGATCAAAAGCTAAAGCTAGTTTATGCTAATTTCTATTGATTGTGTTCCATCCAGAGTAAGAAGCGTTTTGAGAAGGAATGGAGAGAAGCAGAGAAGGCCAATCAGCAGACAGAGAAAGTCCAGCTGGATGCCAACGCCACGAGAGCAGACATGGAGAAGGTACAGACTCGACACAGACACACATATCAGATTTCCTTGTAGTTTGCATGGAAAGATCACGGTTCATGTTGAAGTTGATGAGCACTGACAGTAGTTTGACAGCAGCTGCAGGAATGTGTGAGTGTGGTCATGTGACTGTACATCATTCCACTCTCATGTGTGTTCACTTCTCTCCACTTCATAAGTTCATATTTACTGGTGTAGTTCCTGTTTTTTAATCAAATTGATCAGTATAAATTGATAAAAAATAAATAACTTTATTTAAATATTTAAATACAGTCCTTAGCCATCTTCAAGGATCGGCTAAAAACACATTTCTTCCATCTTTATTTGACCCTCTAACTCTAGCACTCTCTATTCTAATTCTATTCTATTCTTTTTCTATTCTATCTGTTTTCTTTTTATTTGTTATATAATTAAAAAGAAAACTTGCTACGTGTACTGCGTTAAGTTGAGACTTGTTATAGCATTGCTCTCTTGTTGATTTTGATTGCGTCTGTTGTCCTCATTTGTAAGTCACTTTGGATAAAAGCATCTGCTAATGACTGAATGTAAATACATTTGATTAAATGACTTTTGACTGTAGGCTTTGGTGTCTTGACTGATCTGAGCAGTCACTGAGATCTCTGAAACCCTAGACACATGTGAGATCGCTGGGCTCTTGTTCTCAGGAGAAACATCTGATCTGAGGAGCAGGAGATTCAGCGTGTGGTCTCTGTTTTGCTGAAACAGCTGAGACATTAAGGATCTACTGTGTGGTTTCTCATCCCTGCGCTGGATGAAGAATAACTACATGTTAGAAGGACACTGTGGTTTGCCGCACTGATGTGGTGTTTGTGTGTGTAGGACACTCTGGCTCTTATAGAGCAGTATAGATCAGGCGCGGCGCCTCCTGCTGACGTGGAGTTTGAGGATTACAGTCAGGGAGTCAAAGCTGCTGCATCTGACAACACTACGACACACCTGCCGAAAGTCCGCATCAAACAGCTGTTCCACAAGAAAAACAAGGTGCACACACACACACACACACACACAGACACGACACAGACATACACACACACAGACATAGACATGACACAGACACACACACACACACACAGACACACACACACACACACACACACACACACACACCCACACACACACACACCACACACACCACACACACCACACACACCACACACACACACACACACACACACACACACACACACACACATCAGATTTCTTTGTAGTTTGCATGGAAAGATCACGGTTCATGTTGAAGTTGATGAGCACTGACAGTAGTTTGACAGCAGCTGCAGGAATGTGTGAGTGTGGTCATGTGACTGTACATCATTCCACTCTCATGTGTGTTCACTTCTCTCCACTTCATAAGTTCATATTTACTGGTGTAGTTCCTGTTTTTTAATCAAATTGATCAGTATAAATTGATAAAAAATAAATAACTTTATTTAAATATTTAAATACAGTCCTTAGCCATCTTCAAGGATCGGCTAAAAACACATTTCTTCCATCTTTATTTGACCCTCTAACTCTAGCACTCTCTATTCTAATTCTATTCTATTCTTTTTCTATTCTATCTGTTTTCTTTTTATTTGTTATATAATTAAAAAGAAAACTTGCTACGTGTACTGCGTTAAGTTGAGACTTGTTATAGCATTGCTCTTTTGTTGATTTTGATTGCGTCTGTTGTCCTCATTTGTAAGTCACTTTGGATAAAAGCATCTGCTAATGACTGAATGTAAATACATTTGATTAAATGACTTTTGACTGTAGGCTTTGGTGTCTTGACTGATCTGAGCAGTCACTGAGATCTCTGAAACCCTAGACACATGTGAGATCGCTGATCTCAAACATCTGATCTGAGGAGCAGGAGATTCAGCGTGTGGTCTCTGTTTTGCTGAAACAGCTGAGACATTAAGGATCTACTGTGTGGTTTCTCATCCCTGCGCTGGATGAAGAATAACTACATGTTAGAAGGACACTGTGGTTTGCCGCACTGATGTGGTGTTTGTGTGTGTAGGACACTCTGGCTCTTATAGAGCAGTATAGATCAGGCGCGGCGCCTCCTGCTGACGTGGAGTTTGAGGATTACAGTCAGGGAGTCAAAGCTGCTGCATCTGACAACACTACGACACACCTGCCGAAAGTCCGCATCAAACAGCTGTTCCACAAGAAAAACAAGGTGCACACACACACACACACACACACAGCCCGAGTACACCACTAATTACTGTAAACCATCATCACACCGGCCACAGATGAGAACATGGTGAAATAGAGCTAGCGCTGGAATCATTATGACATGTATAGTGTATATATGATGTATGTATTTGTAAATATATGTGAACTTACGATTGTGCGTGTGTTAGAATTTTCAGGTGACATCTCTTGATAAAAACACGGTGAGCAGCTTTATGCATGACGTTTTATTTTTAATTTTGTGAATAAATTTGTGTTTGAAATCTGCATACAGATGTGTCACAAACAAATCATGATTCATCAGTAAGTTTCATACTAACATTTGTTCTAGTCGGGGGTTGATGTAAGATTAGAGTATCAGAGTCTTTGTTAAGAGTATGTACTCTAGCAGTCAGTGTTTAGTGTGTGGAGTATTGATGTGTGTGTGTGTGTGTGTGTGTGTGTGTGTGTGTGAAGCCGTCTTCGCTGGAGGATCTCTCTCGTCTCCCTCCGGATCAGAGAAGGAGACGTCTGCAGGAGAAGATTGATGACATCCAGAAGGAGCTGCAGAGAGAGACGGAGCAGAGGTACATCAGCACACCTATAACTTCATGTTTCCATGACTACAGCTACACAAGCTGATCACGTTTCCATGGCTACGGCTACACTAGCTGATCACGTTTCCATGGCTACGGCTACACTAGCTGATCACATTTCCATGGTTACGGCTACACTAGCTGATCACGTTTCCATGGCTACGGCTACACTAGCTGATCACGTTTTCATGGCTACGGCTACACTAGCTGATCACGTTTCCATGGCTACAGCTACACTAGCTGATCACATTTCCATGGCTACAGCTACACTGACTGAATTAATTTACATGACTACAGCGGAGCTACACTAACCAATCCCATTTCTGTCTACAGGTACACTAACTGATCCTGTATCCATGACTACAGATGCACTAACTGATCCCGTTTCCATGACTACAGCCTCACTAACTAATCCTGTTTCCATTACTACAAATGCACTAAATGATTCCATTACTACAGTAGAGCTACACTAACTGAGCAAGTTTCCATGACTACAGCTGCACTAACTAGTCCTATTTCTATGACTACACATGCACTAACTGTTCCCGTTTCCATGACTGCAGATGCATTAACTGCTCCCGTTTCCATGACTACAGATGCACTAACTGATCCCGTTTCCATGACTGCAGATGCACTAACTGATCCCGTTTCCATGACTGCAGATGCACTAACTGATCCCGTTTCCATGACTGCAGATGCACTAACTGATCCCGTTTCCATGACTACAGCCTCACTAACTAATCCTGTTTCCATGACCATAAATGCACTAACTGATCCCGTTTCCATTACTACAGTAGAGCTACACTAACTGAGCAAGTTTCCATGACCACAGCTGCACTAACTAGTCCTGTTTCCATGACTACAGATGCACTAACTGCTCCCGTTTCCATGACTGCAGATGCATTAACTGCTCCCGTTTCCATGACTGCAGATGCACTAAGGCCGTGTTCACACTGTAAAGTTTAAAGAGTGATACCCACATTTAAATACAGGAGTGAATCTCTCAAAATTGCGATGATTGACACCATGGTAACCATAACAACGTTCAGGCATCTCATGCATTTGATTTCTATTTTTGAGCAAAGTAATATTACACTTACCAAAAACTCTTGTGAAACCCGGTTTCACAGACAAGGCTTAAGCTAGTCCCAGACTAAAATGCATGTTTGAGCTGTCTCAACTGAAGATATCTTGCTCTGACATATCTTAAAATATGTCAGTGTCATTGTTCTGTGTCAAGATGTACACCTGTAATGTTTTCTTCTAAGGCATTTTTGTGAAAATTGCTTAAATATCTTAATTTAACTAAGGTCTAGTCCTGTCTTAAGCTAAGCCCCGTTTGTGAAACCGGGCCATTATGTTCTGAGATTTAACTAAACCACCGTCGACAGAGCCGTCGTGCTGAAGTGCTCGTGGTTGCCATGTCCACTTATTATTATAAGCAACACTTTCTGTGACGACAGAAACTAGCAGATCCTAAGAATCCTGCCGTTCACATTGACACTTTTACACACGTCTGTCTGTCTGTCTGTGTGTCGATCTGTCAGCGAGGCTATGATGAAGATGAAGGGTGTTTATGAGCAGAACTCTCAGCTTGGAGATCCGTCCAGCCTTCAGCCTCAGATCACACAAACCGCTCATAACATCGCCAAACTGAGAGGAGAGCTCAATAAATACCAGGTACACACACACACACACACACACACACACACACGTATAGCATTTACACACATGTAAACACACGTGTGTTCTGCAGGTTCAGCTCACTGAAGCCGGCGGTGGGACGCTGCAACACTATCCCGCCAGGTTGGTCCATCAGCAAACACATCTGTCTTCATGTGGGATTGTGTGTGTTTTGAAAACATTTCCATGACCACCAAACTCTCCTGAAGATGACTGGTTTGACCTGAGATGTTTGTTTACATCCTAGTATGATTTTAACCGGTTTAATGTGTGTGTAGTTCAGAGTACATCACCGTGCTGAGTGAGTCCAGCGTGTCTCCGTCAGAGAACATCTATGAATGTGAATTTGATGAGGACTTTGACATTGACGTGCCCATCGGTCAGTGCACGGCACTCTATGACTTTGACGGTGAGCTGTTCTCTTTTGTGCACTTTGTCAATTTTAACGTTCAGTGGACAGTCAGATCCATCCGCCCGGCCTCCCCGTGAGCATCTGTGTGTGTGTGTTTCAGGCGGCAGCGAGGGCGCCGTGAGCATGCATGTGGGCGAGCAGCTGAGTCTGATGCAGGAGGATCAGGGCGACGGCTGGGTCCGAGTACAGAGGGCCAATGGAGACGTGGGATACGTGCCGGCGTCCTACATCCAGATCATCTGATCGCACCTGCAGCCAGCATCAGAAACAGCTGATAGCGTGTTTCACAGGAGTGTGAGCTGTGCTCATCTGACTCATCAACTGTTTTTATGTCACGGGGAGTGTTTTCACGTTTTTCATGTTGCACTTTTTGATCTCTTTCTTTTCTGTCAGCATGCATTATGCTGCTTCTGGTGTTTTTGTGCACATATGTAGTTTTAAAATGGATTTTAGTTGTCTTTTTCTATTGTGTTTGTCTACTGTTGCACGCCTTTGTATCGCATCGTTGTTACTTCATGATGCATAATTACAGTCAAGTGTGTCCAACTGTGTGCTGATTGATTGGTGTAATTATTTTAAAGATCCGTTCAACCCAAAAACCCGTGCACAAAGACCAACAGTCAAGGTCAGACTGTTCATTAAATAGCCGAAGGTCAAACTCGGTCTGAAACACCTCCAGCAGCTCCGGGATTGGCTCCCATCCGGCTGGGGGCAGAGAGGGACAGGTCAGTCGGCCAATCAGAGCTTCATAATGCTTTGCATGCATGTTTGCCAGCGTCGCCAGTTTGGGGATTTTGTCACCAAATTTAGCTACTTTCTCATTGTTGCAACTTTTAATGATTTTTTGTTTCTTGTTTCTCGTAATGCTTGCGACAATATTTGCAATATTTAAACATTTTTGGAGTTAACAAACATACAAACACAAGAAAAACATTCCGTAGCCGTAGAGTTTTACATGTAGCCCAAATTATGTCATGAATATGCAAATCGTACAATTAGCTACTTTCCGAGCACATTGTAAAAAAGATAAGTTGTAATAAAACAAAGATTACTCAGATTGTGTTTTACAAGAAAACACTATTTCAGTGTTTTTACTTTAAAATTTAATATTTAATTCAATGTGTTACTCGCGGTTTCTTTGTAATTATTTGTGGAAATGTTTCTAGCAGTTTCTGAGAAAAGCTCACCAGAGAGCAGGCCGTGAGCGTGTTGTGTGCAATCGTTAGCGTGCAGCGCGGCGTTGCGTGCCGACTGCAGCAGGTTGTAAAGCAGCTGGCAGCCTCTGTCGGTGGACTCCACGCTGTCCTCGCCCTCCATCAGCCTCAGCAGCGGCTCCATGTGCGGCAGAGACAGCGGCCCCGACACCACGGCATCTATCACACACAACACTCGCTGGAAACTCACTCAGCATCCACAACAGACAGCTCACGACAAACACTCACCATCGCCCTCATTCAGGGCTTTCATGAAGGGCTTGAGACTCTTTTCAAACGTCACTGCACTGTCGGTGTGACTGCGCCTCAGCGCCCTCCACGTCATCTCCAACCTCACCACCTGTGATATTATTCATATATTAAACATTAAAATCATAGAAAGAATATTGTTTTTTCATGCATTGGTCATTTTTGAGATTTTGGCTTTTCATAACATGTGGAAAGAAAACATCCAAAATACATTTTAGGTGTTTATTTTAATACAGTTTCTCTATTTGCATCCGTCGATTTGAAATATAATACATATATTTTAAAGTTTATTTTCTCTAATTCAGCAGCACTTACATACTCCAAAACTTACTGAAGGGTTTGTTCTTACATCATTCACCTGGTTTTATTATTGCACTTTATCTATTTACATTTAATTTACAACACATAACTGTAAAGGCTGTTTTCACCAAATTAGTTTCTATCTCCACTTCAGCAGCACTTACACACACCAACACTTAGAGTTATATTCCTATCTATATTCTGAAGGATTTTACTGAGGGGTTTGTTCATATAACATTCACACTGATTTATACAACATTTTACCCCTAAAACATGGTGAAAGTGCTTATATTTAAAGGTTGTGAGTTTTTTCTCCACTTCAGCAGCACTTACACACACCAACACTTAGAGTTATGTTCCTATCTATATTCTGAAGGATTATACTGAGGGGTTTGTTCATATTTCATTCACACTGATTTATATAACACTTTATTCCTAAAAACAAGGTGAAAACGTATTTTTGTCTGTCTGTTGACAGCATTTTCTGATTTATGGAGTGATAAAAATAAAAATCCAAAATCCCCTCTGTAAAATCCTTTAACTCTAATATGACAACAAAATCTTGTCCAATCTTCAGATTAATATTTTGTGAATTAATGCAAATTAGTGCGTATTAGATAATGCCTCAATTGGATATTTAGACTTAGAATAGTTTGAAATTCTTAGTGTAGTCAGTCAACTGGTGAAGTATGGTGAAATAAGTACAATTTCATCCTATGCTTTAATATATTATTTAAAATGACTATTATTATTACATTTGAACTGAGTGTAGGAGGTACCTGCGGCAGCTCCAGCGCGTTCATGATGGCGGAGAAGGCGTACAGGTCGTGTGTGGTGTTGCGCAGCTCCTGCGCCAGCTGGATGATCCTGTGCAGCACCGTCGCCCGCTGGCCCACTGTCCCAGAACAGCCCAGAAGATCCACCGCCACGCCCAGAGCCAGAGTGTGATGCCTGATGGGGAATCACAGCATGACATCATCACGCGTCACATGACAACAGCATCCGCATCGTCACGGCAGCACACACCTCTCCAGCAGGTCCCGTCTGAGCTGGCCTCCGTGTGGCAGCGTGATGAGCTCCAGACCGGTTTCCACTCCCATGATCCTCTTCTGCTCCACCGTCACACCTGTGACCCGAGCCACCTGAGGCAGACAGAGGCTCATGACACGTGTGTGTTATTTTAGTATTATTTATGACCTATTATAGTTTTTATTAATATTTTGTGTTCAGTTTTATTAACTGCAAAAAATTGCAGAAACATTCTTAAACCAAGATACATTTACTGGAGATACAAAATGACTTTAGGTACTGAGTTTTATTTTATGAAAAGTGTATGCTTAAAACGAGAAACAAATATCTGCCAATGCGGTCAGAAAATAAACATAGTTCAAAGGGAAAACAAGATACTTTTTCACCATCTGCTCTTGTTTTAAGCATAAACTCACATCATTTTGATAGAGTTTACAGAAAACAAGATTTAATATCATTAATTTTCCTTATCAAGTAAATGTATCTTGATTTTAGAGTTTTTAGGTATTTGTAATCAGTTTATTTATTTATTAAAAATTCATTTTGATTTTAATTAATTTTAGTAGTTGTGTCATTTTATTAGTCTGGTTTATTACTAATATTTGATTTAATTATTTTAGTTGAAAATAATTAGAAAATATGATTTTCTAGCTTAGTATTTTTGTCTTGTTTTCCAGTACAAATATCTAAACATTCACTTACTTGACAAGCAAAATTACTTAAAATATTTATTATTTCTAATCTAGATATTCAGAAAACTTAATATAAAATGGAATTAAAGGTTATTTTTCCAATTCTTTTTCTTTTGTTTTAAGCAAGCTCGATTTTGATCAGTTTTTCAGAAAGCAAGATCTATCCTAAGACATGAGATCTATCTTAATATCAATTTGATGTCTCATAATAAACTGCAGTGCTTTACAGCTATAGGACAGGAAGAGCTAAATAAACTTATCACTGCATCTAAACCAACAACATGCCTGTTAGATCCTGTACCCACTAAATTACTGAAAGAGTTGTTACCTGTAGCAGAAGAACCGCTTCTCAATATTATTAACTCGTCGTTGTCTTTAGGTCACGTCCCAAAAACATTCAAGCTGGCGGTCATTAAGCCTCTTATTAAGAAACCACAACTAGATCCTAGTGAACTGGCAAATTACAGACCCATCTCAAATCTTCCTTTTATGTCAAAAATTTTAGTTAAGAATGTTTGCATATATTTGTACTGGTAAACAAGGCAAAAATATACACAAATTTACTTAATTGCCAAGATAACATTTCTAATTTTCATTTAGTTTAAGTTATGTTTCTTTTATTTCAGCTTCATCTCAATTAACATAAATGTTTATAATAGCTTTAGTGAGTGATGATAACCCTGGCGTGTGGTACCTGGCAGTTGACGCTGAGCATGTGCAGCGCGGTGGTCCTGGCGTCGGTGCGCGTCAGCAGCTCTTTGACCTTCAGCAGGACACTCTGATCCAGTGGACGGTTGTTATCCGGCAGCAGGAGTGAGCGGAACTCATCCAGACGGAAACATGATGTGGTCTGAGTCAGCGGCCGCTCGAAATGCCACTCGCGCTCGTCCTCCTCGATCCTCTCCCTCTCCCTGCACTCCTCCTCCAGCTTCTGCGCCTCCAGGAAGCCAAAGTTGGTCTCGGTGAGACGCGCGCGGCTGGTCCATCGCTCCCGAGCACGGAGATGCACCGCGTGACCTTTAGGCAACATGCTGACGGGGACCTACAAGAGGTTTCTTGGGTTAATTAATATTTTTCAAACTGAATGCAAAAGCATTTTTCCTCTCATCTTATATTTTTTCTATCACTGTATACCCAATGATACAAATAGACCAGAGTTTGGTCAAGTACATGGGCTTGGTTTTGAAGTCATGTTGACTTTAGACGTGCATGTCATGTGCTCGTGAACTCTCACCTGTGGCACCAGCTCACTGTAGAGGCCGCCAGGATCAGACTCTGTGCTGGATTGGGATTGAGCCGGGGTGAGAACGATGGAGATCCACAGCGGTTTGGGAGGTGCTCGAGAATGCAGCTGTCCATCAGAGCCGTGCAGAGGAGAGCCGCCAAGACTCGACTGGCTGCGCGGAGCGGCACAGGAAGCGGCTGGGCTGAGAACGGGCTCACTTCCTGTGCGGAACACCGGGGATATGGGGGCGGGGCTGGACTCCTGTGACGGACAGCTCTGAGGGACACCTGCACAACATGAACGAATCACTCTGTGTGACAATCAGGTCTCAGATCAGTTTTTAAACATGTTCACACGTGTGTGTGTGTGTGTGTGTGTATGCACCTGTGCGGAGGTTGCTGTCAGATTGTGCGGACTGTAGAGACGGTCTGCCCACTGTCTCCAGATTAGCAGGCTGACTGCCACTCCTAACACACACGCATCACTGTTACTATGACAACACACACACACATCATGAGCCTTCCAGTATATATGTGTGTGTATGTGCGTGGCTGTGTATGTGTGTGTGTGTGTGTGTGTGAGTGTGTGTGTGTGCTAGTTTGTGTATGTGTGTGTGTGTGTGTGTGCTAATTTGTGTATGTGTGTGTGTGTGTGTGTGTGTGTGTGTGTATGTGTGTGAGTGTAAGTTTGTGAGTGTGTGTGTGCTAGTTTGTGTATGTGCGTGTCTGTGTATGTGTGTGTGTGTGTGTGAGTGTAAGTTTGTGTGTGTGTGTGTATGTGTGTGAGTGTAAGTTTGTGAGTGTGTGTGTGCTAGTTTGTGTATGTGCGTGTCTGTGTATGTGTGTGTGTGTGTGTGAGTGTAAGTTTGTGACTGTGTGTGTGTGTGTTTGTGTTTGTGTAAGTTTGTGAGTGTGTGTGTGTGTGTGTG